CCATGGCTGCCAAGGTGAGGCATCCCCTGCCCACCTGGCAGCAGTCGGGGGGCACAACTCCATGCTGCTGCCATTTCTGCACCTTACCATGGCAGTGTGGCACTTCCTCCGGTGCCGTCCCCACCTCCCCACTGGGCCACAGAGGTGGCTCCTACCTGTAGCTGGTCTGGTCCCACTGCAGGCCTGCACCCTGCAGCCCTGTGACCCACTGTGGGCACAGAAGTCTCAGTGGCACATGCCCCCCTCACTGCATTGCCTGTGCACCCCCACCTTCCCCACACAGTCACTCTCTTCCTCATACACTGGGGGTTGGGAACAGTGGGTTGGGAGTGAAGGGCACCAGCAGAGCCAGGGGGCTATGGGTTAGGAATGAGGGGCACCAGCAGGGCTGGGGGTGGGGGGCGGGCAGTGGCTTAGAGTGAGAGGTAATGGCATGGGTTGGAGCAGTGCACTGGCATATCAGGGCTGCTCAGGGCCAGAAAGCAGTGAGGGCAAAAGCCACAGTTGGATCCATGTCCTGGTGAGTGAACGGGTAGGGGGAGTTTTGATTTTCCATGATAGAAAACCTGAAATCAAACACCAAAATTTATAGGTATTTGGAATTTATTTTATTAAAGTGATGGTGGCACTGATAGGCTTCCAAATTGCTTTAAAATTGTAAATATATCAATAAAACATTGTGTTCAACTGCTACCTATATATTGGTATAATATACCAATTTTTCTCTGTTTAAAAATTGCAAATTCTCCAATTAAAAAACCCAAAGTCCATGTTTTTCTGTGATTAACATGAAACAGCACTATCTCTCTCTCTCTCTCTCTCTCTCTCTATATATATATATATAAAACATGGACAGAAAAACATGGACTTTGGTTTTTTTAATCAGAGAATTTGCAATTTTTAAACAGAGAAAACCAGGATGCATATATAATAACAGGACTGCAATATTCAAATTAGGACTCTGACTGCTGGAAACTATGAGGGCACAGGGACAGGAGACAGATTAGTCTGCATAGACCCTGCATAAATACTTTTCCTCTTAGCATCTGTTCTGTGTCACTGTGAGATACAGAATGCAAGATGGACTTGTGGTCTCATCTAGTATGGCATGTCTTATGTTTACAAAGAGGAGAATCAACTGAATCCTCTAAGCACCTATACAGGGCCAGCCACCATCTAGTGTTTAACTAGAACAGGGGTTTTCAACCTTTTTTGAACACTGTACCCCAGGCAGCTGGATGTGGAGTAGTGTACCCCCAGCCACCAAACGGGGAGGGGTAGGGCATGTGGCAGGATGCCAAGTGGGTGGGTGGGGCATGGTGTGCATCCAGACACCGAGTGGGGGGAATGGCACATGGCCAGACGCCAAGTTGGGAGGTAGTGCATGGCCAGGCAGGGAGGGGGGCATGCAGCTGGATGCAGAGCAGTGGCACCACCATGTGTAAGCTTCCCCCACCCCGCCACATCTGGCCAGGCGCCCCCATGGGGCAGGGGAAACTCACACATGGCAGATGCCCGTGTGGACCTCCTAGTGCCTGCTCAAATACTGCTGGGGGTATGTGTACCCCTGGTTGACAATCCCTGAACTAGAAGATTAAATAACTTTTAGCAGCTAGACTTCTTGGTAGAAAGGGGAGAGATTCATATCTGCACAGAGGAGTCCTGGGGCTAAAGGGAAGAAGCAATGGTATTAGAGACCAAACTTCTTTAACCCTAGAATAGGTGCCAGCTTTGGCAGGCTCCTTATGCTACTTTCATTTTGGGCTTTTCTTGCTTTCAAGTGGAGGGACCAAATTTATTGTAAGCAGGCCTTATTTCTATTAAATCTGATGTCCTTAAATGATCACTTCCCACCTCCTCCTCTCTTGCCTTCCTGAATTTCCATCAACTGCACTTTTCATTAGTTTCCAGAGGCTCAATAGTGGATAGCAGAAAGTTTTAACTAAAACTGACAAAGAAGCAGGAAGCAAAAACAGAACCAACACTTGCTACTGTTTTTCTCTAAACCTTCAGGCTGCATCTGAATTTGGCTATGTCTGGCACAGCGTCACAGCAAGTTGTAGGGGAGAGAAAACAGGGATAGAGGAAAAGTAGAAAAGAATAAATATCTTCCTTGCCAAGGATGTAGTGCCCTTTAGATCATTTGCACAAATATCTATGCAGTTAAGCGCTAAGGCTGCTTAAAAGAGCTGCTACGACATGTTCTTGGCAGCCCAAGGGACTAAAATCTCCATTACACCACACTAGTTCTGCTGTGAGTACTGCAGCAAGGCATATTCATCCAATCACAGATACTTTGCAAGGGCAAAAATACTAACACTGTTGACTCCCACCCTATCATTTCCATGCTTGCTAATTCCTACCCCATTCGCCTATCGCTGTATTCGCCTGTACTCCATTGCTGTTTGCTTGTATTGATCATGCTCATTAAATATAAATCTATAATAATAACAGTCCTCCTTTTTAGTTAGGACATGGCCTAGTGTTGCTATACATAGTGTCAATAAATTCAGCCATATACGGATCAGTAAATTTGTCTACTTGCACATTTTTGATGGCTTTATGTGTCAACAGTGCACATTTTCCAGTGTTCACCTCTCCTTTCAGGCATCCTGTAACACCCATCAAGGAGAAGTCTAATTAGAACCTATTCTGATAGGTTAAAAATGATGTAGTTAATATTTCCTGTGCAGGGAATAGAGTAATCAAACAGGAACAGATTTCTTTTTTTAAAATAGGTTTTAAACTAGAAAATACTACAGTCAGGAAATAAAATCTATCTTCATATTTTATTATGAATATTCTAATATTAAAATTATTTTTCCTGTATATAGTTTATGTCACATGCAAATACCACAGAATATCACCAAATATATGGAAAGATCTCTGAAGGACTTTTTGAGGTATTTAGATTTTATGCTGTAATTATCCTTGTAGCCTTCTTCCACTTAACAAAATCAGAAGGCAGTCATGGACATAGTAGTCTTCTGTGATCTATGTAAGCCATGCAATCTATTTACTTACGGGTAGCCGAGTTCCATGAAATTATTCCACGTCTGCTTTAGCACCATTATAATACCCATTTGCATACAGAGATCAATAAGGCATCCGCTGGGGTGGCACTGAAGAGTGAAAAAAATGCTAAGTGGTTTAAACAGAAATTATTTCTTAAGCATTTTTCAATTTATAAACCCAAATGTACAATAATTCATAACATTAAAAACCCCTAAAACCTTTGGTTTTATTGCTTAAATGTAAACCCAAAGAAGTATGCAAGTCACAATGTGAGTCCATGAAGCTCAGCATACAACTTTCTACACTGCCCAGACTCCAAAGTTTTGGATGATGACAAATCAGTCTTCACCTAAGCTAAGTTATAGGTAGCCCATAGTATGATTCTTGTAGGCCTTATGCAAAATGTATTAGAGAGAATGGGAGTTTTTCTACTGGCTTCAACAGGTTTTGGGTTGGTTCGAGTACATTTTAGAGAAGTGGGGGCCAACCTTTTTGCCAGGCATGCCACAAATTAGCTCCACATCATCGCTGAGTGCCACTTTTTCCTGTCTAATTGGCTGCTCTGCTTTCTTCTTCCTGTCCAGTGCTCCTTGCCCAATCTGCTGCTCTATTTTCTGCTCCCTGTCCTATTTGACACTGTACTGCCTGTCCCCTCCCCTGTCCACTGTGTGCCACACATGGGCCGCATCCAGACGAGCGTGCACATGCCTCTTGCCCTGTCTCAAACCCCTTTGAGGTGGGGCAAGAAGCACGTGCGGGAACAAAAAATGTTTCCCGTGCTGCAAACTTGCAGCACGGAGAGAAAATTAGACCCCTGGATATCCAGGGATCTAAAAAAAATGAAGTTTAAAAAAGTGGAGCAGGGCACGGTCGGGGACGGGAACTGTGCCCTGAGGAAACCAGAGGCTGGGCCCTTCAGGGAGATGCTGAAGCAGCGTGTTTCAGCACCAAGGCTCCAGAGCCGGTGAGTAAGGGGTCGGGGGGGCTGGTGGAGGGGGGAGGGGACTATGGGGGGACCCCCATGGGCTCCACCTGCTCCTCCAGCCCCCCGATCACTGCAGTGCCCGGCCC